GAGTGGTCACCTCCAAGCTCCGAGCTCCTGACAAGTACCTATCACCGTCTCAGGATTGGCCCTGCACAGCTCTGAGTGCAGCCCTCACACCAGGGGCGCAGGGCGTGAGCAGGAAGTGAGAAGTGAGTGTGAGGGGGTAGGAACCCAGCAGGCACTGACCTTGTCTTTGCTTCCAGCCGGGCCCGGCGCCCAAGCAGAGCCCTCAGTGCCCCATGGCCGCGCCCAACAGCACAACGTTCAGTCACCTCAGCTTCATCCTGGTCGGCATCCCGGGCCTGGAGCCCTGGCACCCCTGGATCTCCATCCCCTTCGCGCTGATGTACACGGCGGCTGTTCTGGGGAACTGTGGTCTCCTCCTGCTCATCGCCACCCAGCGCAGGCTGCACGAGCCCATGTTCATTTTCCTCTCCATGCTGGCGGTGGCCGACATGCTGTTATCCACCTGCACCGTCAATGCCTGCCTCACCCAGGCATTCTTTTTGCACTTTGGGGTTACTGTCGAGTCGGCCGTCCTGCTGGCCATGGGGTTCGATCGGTACGTCGCCGTCTGCGACCCGCTGAGGTACACGATTATGCTCACCAACGAGAAGATCAGGAAAATAGCCACGGCCGTTGTCCTAAGAACCTTTTGTGTAATTGTCCCTGTTGTTTTTCTTCTCAAACGGCTGCCCTTCTGCGCAAGCAACATCATCCCGCACTCCTACTGTGACCACATCGGGGTGGCCAGGATGGCCTGTGCGGATATATCCATAGATATCTGGTATGGCTTAGCAGTGCCTATTGGAACCATTATACTAGACTTCGTGCTTATCGCTGTGTCTTATGTGCTGATCCTCAGGGCTGTGTTCAAGCTGCCCACCAAAGACGCCCGGCACAAAACTCTCGGCACCTGCGGCTCCCACGTCTGTATCATCCTCTTATTTTACGTCCCAGCCTTTTTCAATTTCCTAACCAACCGCTTTGGCCACAATATCCCTAAACACGTTCACATCCTACTGGCCGATATGTACGTGCTCATCCCCTCCGTGCTAAACCCCGTTGTTTATGGGATGAAAACCAAGCAGCTGAGGGAACAAATGGTCTGTGCGTTGTCTCGGAAGGCAAGATGGTGCTGAGACAGAGCAATGAGACTTACTAGCAGGGCTCTTCCTCACTGCAAGGTGAGGGCCACCGGCACTGAAGCATGGACATTAACATTTCAATTCCCTGTAGCAAAACAGACATTTTCCTCACTGGGGATGTTTCTTTGCATGTCTAGGGTGAGGTCTGCGACACCTTCTGCCCCACCTCCCCCTTTGCTGTATGTAATGGATGGATGGATATGAATATACATAATTCAAAAGTTCTTTCAGGAAATTAGTTCGTGTAACCCATCACCCCTCATGTCACGATCTGCTGGGTCTCTTTCTCTTACATTGACATGTATATCATTGGTGTGTGTAAGATTAGATCTATCGAATGGGGAATACTTTCCAGGTTTCAAATGTGTGAATGAGAGAAATAGTGGGTGTTACCCTCAGCTGTGAAACAATCCCTTTTGTCCTAATTTAGTCAGGAGGTGCCTCAATACTTTAACA